CTGGATTTCTCTGGTCAGCCAAGGAAGCCTCCTGGCCCCTTTCCCTCTTTTTCCTCGCATCGGGATCGTCTTCCTTTGTGCCCGAAGGATCATTTCCATGGGGTAGTAATCAGTGGGCTTGATCCTAGCCTGGATTACTTCCGTCACATCCCGAATCTTTGCTCCGGGCAGGCAGTAGACCTCTTGTGTTGAGGGGTCCTGGCGACAGATGGGCCCTTCCATACCTCTCAGGATGGAGTTGCCTATGACGAGCACTCGTCGCCTCCTCCTCTGGGTCTGCTTGGATCTCTTGACCTGTTCGGAATGTGGAGAATGTGGTGTTGCTTTCTGCCCAAAGGTTTCCTCCTCTCCTTCCATCTCCTGCAGGGTCGCCAGGGCCTTGTACCTGTTCTCAAGTCGGACTGGAGGAACTGGTACCTGTTCGCTGCGAGCAGTTCCGGTCCTGGATGTGACCATCTGCCACTCTGCTGTGGAGGGCACTCCCCGGGATGCGTCTTCTTTAGGTGCCTGGTCCTGCAGGGAAAAGAAATAGTTAATAATAGACGCTGTCATGTCTGCGACGGTTCATTCTTTCAGTCACTGACCACGTCTGAGATTCACAGTAATATAGGCCATGAATAGGTGCTACACTGGTGCTGGGATCAAAGGCTTTCTTGCAGAACTCTCTCTTCTGCAACAAAATTAGGTTGATTCCCATGAAGATCTCCCCACTCTTGATCTAAATGAATGGCTTTAAGCTTTTCTTGGCAGGAGGAAAGGGGCATTCTGCAGTGAGAAGGGGTTCCCACAATGGGAGAATGCTCCCACTTACCCCTACACTGCTCCAGTCAGCCCATGCACGGGTAGACAGGTTGTGCCATGGCAGCTAGGCTTCCTGGCACTGCTGGGGAATGCTCCTGTCCCTCCCTGCTCTCCTTTGGTTCATCATCAAGGAGGGCACAAAGTGAAGGCTATTTTCCTGGGGAGAGAACTGAGAGGGTTCTTTCCACATGACCCTGCAGCCCCTGGCCAGCAATCGGCAGGAAGAGGCTTGGCATCCTTCTAGGGCTGGGACCCTCCTGGGGCGTCTAGAGCAGCTGCTGTTTTTCAGCAGCCACCAATTGATGGCCTGCCGCCTTCTCCAATGGGGAAGAGGGCAGGTTGTCAAATATTGGGCTCCCTTTGTGCCCCCTAGCTGGAGAGCTCACCTGTGTAGCTCTCTAGCTGGGGTCTGGAACACATGTATACTCCAGCTCCCAGGCTAGTTTTCTAGCAGGAAGAATTTCAGATATATTCTTACCACTAGAAGTAAAAATCTGTTGGTGATCTTAGTGGCTTGGGCACTGGGGGAAGGAAGAAAGGAATCGGGTAGCAGTCACCTACAAGGCCAGGAAGTGGTGACAGCTGTGGCTATGGGGTAGGAGGGAAGTATCTGCAATGGGAAGGGGAAAGTTGCTGCTGGGAGCAGTCAGAAAGTATGTGGGTGTTGGAAGCAGTCAGATTTGGGAAGTGCTGCAGGCTCCTCATTGTATTCCTCTACCCCAGGCACTCCTGCTGTCAGTCAATCAGCATGCATACCTGTGCTGTTTCCACCCTTGTGGCTGGGCCTGCAGCATACACTGAACCCGCCTATGTTCTTCTCCAATGTACATGGAGCACTGTGTGTCAGGGGCAAGAAAAAAAGAGGCCCATTTTCAGACAGACTTGGTGCCTCTCTCAACATACCCCAAGCATGCCAGCTCTGCATTCCTCCCTGTAGTCTCAGATGGGCATTTTTGTGGAATGTGCAGCTTCGCTCTTTCTGCGGGTTTCAGCTAGTCCACTTGGACTGTTGACAGCAGAGTGTTAGTCATATATGTGAAACACTTGTGCAACAATTCTCAACCAGGGTGCCATGGTCCCATGGGGTGCCTTGAGATCCTTTCAAGGGTGTGATGGGATGCTACACAATGTTAGCACTGGTAAGTGTGCAAATGTAATTCACAAAATAAACCCAGAGATTGTAAATAAAGAATCCATGGTGTTAAAAACATGCTGACCTCTTGAGGTCTTTTTGAATTCTTTTTAACAGGAGTATTGCTCTGTTCTCTTTCTGTAGCCAAAACTGAGCGAAATCTAGGAGCGGGCATTTTCTGATGGGTGCCTCAAGTCTAAAAAGGTTGAGAACCACTATACTAGTCTTCCAAAATATTTTCAAAATCTCTCACATATATAGTGTACTCTAGTGTACAAAATTACCTTATCACCTATAATGTCTGGCAGATGCACATACTTTGGTGCATCTCACTATGGTGCTAGTGAACATTGTTCAAAGAAAAGTAAGTGTAATAATCAAGTATCAGCAGGTTGTAGGCTTTGTGCTCAACTAAAACTGGGCACCAATAGCTTCCAAGCTCTAAGTGCAGCGTAAGTTGGCTCCATGTTCCTCTTTGTTCTGCTTGAATGCAAGTCAGACAAATTTATCTTAGTTAAGCAAGTGAGGGGGTGGGGGAGAAGGAAGGGGGAGTGTTTCTTGCTTATCTTTCACCAATTTGCTGCTTGATGGACAACTTAGTAGGACCAAATCCCATTTTTGCATTATAACAGGAGACATGCACTTGACACTTCTGAAGGGCAGGCCATGCATTTTAAAAGATTCTGTGAGGTAGCCAGTGTGGAGAGAAAGACTAGAAGGGCATGGGAGGGCTCAGATAATATCATAAATACTTGTGTGACTAGATAATAGATTAATTTACACTACTCTGTGACAAACTAAAATGCCCACATATTAATGTTGAATAGGTAATCAAAATCAGCTATTAATTTATTTTTAAAGTTAGCCAAAACCATAGCAAATATGTACAATAAACCTCTGAAAGTGGCTGTATGATACATAGGGATGGGCCCTTAAATGAAACTTGTTTGAAAAGCTTTACTATTCTACATTAGATAACAAAAACAAAATGCAAATATACCATTTAAATGGGGTTTAATAAACTTTGTTAATGTAAATGCAGTTCTAAATAAATAACTTAAAAAATACCCTTGAAACACAATAACCAAACATTTTGACCACAGCAGCGTTCATTAAAGGAACCTGGTAGCTTTCAATTATCATGATGAATATAGCAACAATTTAAATTAATTGATGCATTGTCTTTTAACAAATGTCTCATGTATGTAAATGTTCCAAGTCAACCAAAAAAAAAAAAAAATCAATCTGCTGCCTAATTCAATTCCAAAGGTGTAGTCACAAGCAATCAGTATAATTGGCTTTCTCATGTGCACATAAAACTAGCCTTTCAGGAATGATTACACATTCATAAACCGTCAGAGATACAGAAGCTTACTGGAAATTATTAACACACTTAGTAAAAGACTTCACTGGTGTAAAATCAAAATGTATAGTTTTCTGGAGGTACTGTCAGAAGTACTTTATTAATAAAAAATAGCTGGAAAAGTTCAGGGTGGGTAGGAAAACAAGCAAAAAACTTAATATGCATCTTGAGCAGGGAACCCTCCCTCCACAGGCCCCCCCCCTCCCCAAAAATCACTTACAGTGTATCTAATATAGCATAGCTGATGGCTTGAACACCACAATAGGACAATCCATCACTAGATTCCTGCAATGGAGGCCAGAACATATTTATTTGCCACTTAAAACAACACTGCATGTACTTTGTCTAGGTGTTGCAGGACTGCAGACTGGTGAATTATATAAAGAAGCAAAATGCAAGCACTTGCCACACATTGTTCAGTTGTCCACAATTAAGTCAGTAGCCCCTTTCCATCCTTTTCAATGAAAGGCTATGGGTTGTGCCCTACAGTGCAGCCAGATCTGCAATGCTTTGAATACATACTGGTTAGTAGAGGTTGTGTATAAGTTTTCAGAATGGGCTGGGAAACCAAGTTATAGTTGTTGCATAGTTTGAGTACCATTATGTGCACAGAAGCTGACTAGTTTAGTGCCATCCTGGAGCACTGCCTTACAGGCACATAAAGGTGGACAATGGCCATTGTGGCAGCTAGCCACAGACAGTGAAATGTTTATGGTAGCTACCGTGAAACAAATTGTCCCAGGCAGTTGCCCAGATGCCTCAAATGGGCACAATACCTTTGCTGGCCTGTTATCCTGCAGAGCTGGTGGCATGATCATTCAGGCATGGCTGTGTAATGCTGGGTTAGGCCTGCACTTGACTTCCCAGTGCTCAAGAATATGGCAAATCACCAGAGTCAACTGAATGCATCTTTTTATTTGATGCGTGTGAAGGGCGGAGAAGGCAGCTTGCCTCCTTCCTTCCAACTGACCACAGTCCTATTTCAGAGAGCTCTTCTTGGCTGCCACATCTGTTTCAAAACTGAGCTCTGAAGAATAAATTGGCTCACTGGATGAATAATGTTCATACCACTTCAAATGTAACCAAAAGGTTCAGGAAGTGCCTCTCCTCTCCAACACTGATTAGTCTTGTCCAGGTCACGCTGCTAGAGACCCAGGATTCAGATTCCTTTTCCAAGATCATATGATGAGAGAGAGAATCTGAGTTATTTCCAAAAACTTAATTTTAAATTGATAAGGCATGGGTCAAATGGGAGTAATCTTCATCCATGTCTTGAGATGCACATATATTCCTCCAGGTAGAGATATGGACTTCCATAGCTTCAAGCAGGCAGAGGATTATGCTCACACAAGAGGTGTTTTGGAGAAGAGCAACTGAAAGACTGATTTCTCTCTTCTAAACAGGTTAACTTCTGTATTTAACTTCCTGGAGCTTATGCAACCAAAGAAACCCAAATAATGGACAGATTCAGCTACTATTGATCATGTTTTATTCTACTAATCAAACAGATTCTACTTGCGTGACCACCTTCATACAAACAGGCAGCCTCCAGTAACCAGGATCATACTGCCTACAATAAAGACTCTCCAACTCTGACAAGAAGTTAAAAGATCTGACTTGCCCTATCCCTCCCTTAAGCCAAAACAATTAAGTTCATAAAACTCAGGAAATCAGACAGAGAAAAAATGAGATTTTAAACCATACTTATTTTAAATAAGTTTATTATAACTAAATAATATAAAACACAGACATCTTAAAACATTTATTGAGGGAAGGAAAAAAACGCTAGGTGCAGAGTAGTGTTTTGTTGGTGCAGACAGTATAGACTAGAGACTCCAAACCAATGTTGGAATCTGACCTGTTTTCTTTTGATTTGGTATCAGTACTATGTTTACAACACAACAGAAGAAGGTTTATTAGCTCCTGTTAGTCAAAACAAAATACAATTAAAATACAGGGCAATACACTTTCCCTTTACTTTAAATAGTATAAATTTAAGTAAGGCTCACTATAAATGGAGCTTGCTATTTATAATATGAATGCCCAATGCAGATGGGGAAAATGGAGGGGATGGGAAAGGGAAATGTACAACCAATCCATGTGCCTTATCGATGTTTGATATTTCATTCTGTAGTATGATTTCTTTGCTGTGTTTAGTTAATTATAATGGTCTGGATACATGATAAAACAGAAAAACCCATAGGAATCGCACATATTTTCAAAACCTTTTTTTAAAGGGATCAAAGAGCAAAATATGGACTCGTGAACTTTGAGACAGAGTAAAACAAGTTAGTGGTCAGGATATTGAACAAGGGAAAAGTTTAGATCTTAATGCCTTTGGCACATCTGGGGTGTTTGTTTAGCCTTATTATGTTAAAGGAAGTGTATTTAAAAATAACACAACACAGAAAAACCCTAAGGCCAAAACCTATGTTTTGAACAAGCATGCACATGACTGCAATGAGTAATTCGTCCACTTAAGCCTATACAGACATGTGAGTGCATACAGGTACTTGTCTGTTAATGATCCCAGTTCAGAAGAGCTTTTTAATATGTGCTTTTGTCTAATCCTTGTTCAGGATAACATTTAAGTCTATTCTTCTCTGGAACTTAGATATGTGCTTAAAGACAAAACATGCTTAAGCTCTAACCTGAGCATGAATGCTTTTCTGAATCAGAAGCAAAAAAAGTGTCAAGTCCATGTTTTCACACTGGTTGGTAGTAGCGCCATTCTGATGTCACAGCAGTATTTAAATTCATCACATGGACCATAACCATGACCAGCCATATCATGGCACAGCCTCACTTTCATGCTGGGAAATCAGTAAATTCTGCCCATATCTCTACACAAAGAGAGGTGACATTATTGGGAGCATTTGGCAGCCTGGAGCCTTACATGGTTTTATTTGTTTGGAGGGAAGACGGATCTGAATTCAGCTGTTCTGCCTCTTCTGCCTTGATGACTTATCAGGACGCTGCAGGCCAGGGACAAGAAATAAGCCCGTCTCTGAAATTGTGCTTTTGCCAATAAAAGGTAAAAACTGCCAAATGCTGAAGTACCTCAATTTAGATTTCATAAGTGAAATTAAAACTTCAAAGCATTTTAATTTCCTTGGCACAGTGTTGTGGAGCCAGGGAGAGGCACTTCAAAAGAAAGGGACTGCATGCTTCATCTACTACTTCTGCTCAGCTGTCACTTTACAGCTTGGGCCCTTTTTTAAAGTCCATTTTTTAAAATCACTTTATGCACAGTCAAGGTAGCAGTTTTCAACTCTTCATTTTAGCTCCGCTTTGAGCTGAAAGCAGAAGCCCTGGGTGAAAAGCAAAGACAGGAAGTAAAAAGGGGTGTATTTAGGCTTCAAACCCATTCAGGATTTTTTTTTTTTTAAAACAAAAGCTGAAGAGAGGCCTAGGGGGAGGAAAAGATCAGTTATATTTTTGAAAAACAATATGATATTCTAGTGGTCCACACACCTTTGAACTACAGTAATACCACTTAAGCTCCAGTTCTTTGGGCCATCACTGGAGTACTGTGTAGCTCATTTTTGTACATACAAAGCCTAGAAACTACAAAGAAAAGCTTGACAGGGTTTTTTTTTTAAACTATGAAATATATTCAGTGCCATAGAGCAAACAGCCACAGTGAACTTATCATCGCTGTTGCTTTATTAGATTGCTTTTCCTATAATGACAGTATAAGCCCCTTAAAGTACCAAGCAGCATTTGTTAAACATTACCTTAAAATGGAATTTTGTTTAGTTTTAGTGAGTCACACTACAGCAGCAAGACAAAATCCCAAGGTAGTTTTCAGCAGTCTATTAATCCATACCTCTAAAACATTTTACCAATTTGTACCATTAGGGTGCTACAACATGCAATTGCTGAGTACAATATCTTAAAATGGGTGCATTTTAAAAGTACCAAATAAATTTAACAAATGATATCCATTTCTAAGCAGAACTCTCCTGATATTATTGGGGAGCTCTGCTGATCCTGATGGCACTATATTACAGAGATATGTCCTTATTAAAATATACTGACAGCCTTTATTCAGCACTATACAGTGTTTCTATCTGATTGCTTTGGGATTTACCTTGTTTCAATAAGGAAATGCATCAGATAGTCTTCTAGTGTCACACATTCTGCTGGAGTTCTAAACTGAACTATAACAACGTCACAAAAAAGCAGCCTTACATTCCTACTGTAAAGCTACTGTATTTTTTTTTTTTTTGCGCCATGGCTACATAGATTCCCTGAGAGTATGCAACTGCCAGACATCAGCTGAAAAAGTGTTTCTAAAAGAAAGGGCTACAGAAACGCTTAAATGCAGGTTAAGAAATCAATGCAGTTCACGCAAAATGTGCAGGAGACTTTAAGAATGTCAGTATCTGAGAGTCAAGCACATTTTAATTTGGTAGTTGACAGATAAACAGTAAGCTTGGTGCTCAGTTGCCAGGCAAGCCCAGATGCTTTTAAGACTAAAAACAAACAATCAAACAAATTGCCCATCACTCTAAAAGGACTCAATTCCATCTCTGAATTTAAATCTACCAGTGTTTAATCACTTGCTCTTTATAATCATTAAAATCCAAAGGAATCTTTACTTTATGAAATGGGCTAATCAGTTTTACAGCAATGGATTCTCATATGTATTTGCTTACAGATGGAAATCTTAGCTATTTGGCAAATTGACCACTTGCTCAATTTTATCTATTAGGTCCCAATTCTGCAAGGTGCTGAATGCCTTTTATTTGTATTGGTTTCAGTGGGAGTAGAGAACATAGACTCCTGGGACCATTTCAGAATAGAATTAGAGTACAGGAAGCAATCAAGAGGTCTGGCGTTCTCTAAGGTCACAAGCAATCCTGACATCCAATTGCAAGTAAAAGGCCAATTTTACAAAGAGGAGTGAAAACAAGAAGACATATTGTGAAAAAGAGAGTGCCCCTCTGAGCAGGGAATATACCAAACTAGCTACTGGTCAGCCTGCCTATCACAAATGGTAAATTTAATGGAAAACAGTTTTGAAAACAGACTCAAATGAGGTGACTAAGTTTTCTACCTTGGAAACAAATAATGACGACATACTGGGGATCCCCTCTGTACATCAGGGGAACCTTGAGCAAGAGAAAACTCCAATTTTTATTTTAACTTCACAAGTAACTTTTTATTGTTATTTTTGACAGGCTCTCTGCCTTTCTTACCCTCCCTCTCCTGACTGATATTTGTGTGGAAATGTGGACTGACTCCACTACCTTCCCAGAGCACCAGCTAAAGAACAAGAAAGCTAATTTCTCTGCTTTGGGTAAGTGAAGAATCCTAGCTATAAGTGTGAAGGGATATAGGAGGGGATAGCCATTCTACTGAACTGTGGCGTTTCTTACATTCATGGTAAGGAGAAATATATGTGAAAACCCCTATGCATATGGCTTGATTCTCAGTGTTGGAATAACAAAGAAAATATTGGTCAAATTTTCAATTCTATTTTGGTAGAAGTATATAAAATTCATTAATTTTCAAGGAAGCACAGTTCCTGGACTCCTGTTGCTACCAGTGAGAACTGAATTGTAGATAACCAGCAGCTCTGGGAAGAGTGCAAGAGTGAAATCAAGCTGTTTATATAGATGCTGAACTAGAGTTTTTGGCATTCCCTTCAGGTACCAACATTTGAGGGTTTGTATTTTACAGAACTTTGTTTTTCTTAAAGTTGGCAATTTTCAAAATTCCTTGCCTCAACCATGAAATTATTGCTTAAACCTGTTCAACAGGAAACTAGGTACCAAGCAATGTACACTTCACTAAAGTCCTCTTGGTATCCGTGTTTTTTGCTAGATCTGAACACAAGTATTTCTCCTAGGAAGAGACCATGTTTGCAACCTGCCACTGCATTATTATTCACTCTGCTCCCAGACTTCCTTTCCTCTTCTCATACACTAAGCAAAACTCACCCCTATGCAGAAGTCCTAAACATTATTTAGCGATCTTCTTGAGCACAAAAGTGAGTTTACATAGTGCTGGACCTATCCGTAAGGGACAGATTCAGCCTTAGTCATTTAACTAGCTTCAGGGCCAGCCCTTAATTCTTTTCTTTAATAGTAGCAGTGGTGGTAATGACGTATTTATTAGCATCACAAGAAAGAAGTAACAAAAGTCTTCATTATTCTTAATTCTCATTCAGTCATGTGCTTCTGAAATACATGGGTACCAGCTACAAACAAGTGATGGCCTTCTGAAGAACTTTAATTTTCCTAGGATTCACTTATTTCAAAGTCAGCCTTTTGCAATCACCATTTTAAAAGAAAGGGTAATGTCAACCTAAAGACATGTTTATAAAAATCAATTCTTAGACTGCCTTCTTGTGCTTAAATCACACACAAAGACACACAGCAGTTACATGGTTTGTTTTTGACCAAGTCATTGTAAAAAAAAAAATAAAAAAAAAAAAAAAATGACTATGGGCACATTTTTCAAACACACCTAGTTGACTTTGAAACTTTGAAGCTTATGTCCCACTGACTTTTATTGAGATTCAGGTGTTTTTAAAAGTTCTACCGTATTACCATGGTAAATACAATAAGACAAATCTTCAGCTGGACTCAGCAGAGCTTTGCTGACAAACAGCTTAGAAATCTGAACCAAACACTCCTGCAATTAGCACTAAAGGCACAGGAACAACACAAGTGCAAAAGGTAGCAGTCATGGTACTGGTGCAGAGATGAGGATGATACATCTTTAAAACCTTCCTGCTCTTTACCTTCCTGTGCTGTGATATCAGCAACAAGGTTGGCATCATAGTGAACTTGAGGATTATTTTTTAAACACCAAACATACAAGCTTGATGCCATCAGATGAAATTGGAGGGGATATCTGGTAGAAAAATTCCTTTGAACAATAGTTCAGTAGCACTGGAAAGAGACCTCAAATTCATTAACAGAGAGGGAGAAGGTGGAGTGTACCTAGGGCTATGCAAGGTGTATACTCTTAAGTTGGCCCAAGAAAGGGGCAAAAGGAATACAGTTAAAGGCTAACTCTTGGGAGGCCTTCAAAATATTTGAAGGGGGCTGTACACATTTTCAAGAATAAAAGGATGCACTCTAAATTAAGCTCGAGATAAGGAGTAAACTTACCACTCGACCCAGTGGCTTCATTTTTGCCCTCCAGTGCAACAGATGTGGAAGGAGAATAGACATTGATACTGACGCTAGCATCACAACACAGACAGACATAGAATGGGCATGGGAAAGACAGCAACATTAACATACCACCAGTTCTCAGAGCTAACATCACAACTGCCCTTCTGGACATGTGCCTGGCACCTGTGCAAAATGCTAGAGTGAGAAAGTCAAGTTCTGCTCTATTACATTTGTGTAAATGATTAAACAAAATTGCCCCACAACCCCAAAAAGATTTTTTTACCTGAAGGTATTCACCATGCAGCCAGCCATGACTCTAAAATAAATGGTACCTCTGCATTTAAACATAAACAAGCATTTAAAAAAATATGTACATATAAAAAAAGAAGCAACAATTCCTTCCCCTCCCACGTTAAGGAAGATGTAACAAACAGAAATGCTGTTCAGAAAAAACTTTGTTCACAAACGCAGTCCCTGAAGTTTCAAGGCACTGTCTTGCTGTTGTCATACCACCTCATCTGACTCCAAGCCATGTACTTCATAGAGAGTGTCCAAGATATTTAGCTGCTTTTCCATGGCTGGTAAGTAAATGTTGAGGTCTCTTTGCATTCCATTATAAAAAGCTTCCTCCTGGTCTTCACACTGCTTTACAGATAGTGCTGCCACAAAGTCTTCGTAAGTTGGAGCTGCCCTTAAAGCTAACTGAGAGAGGAACACAAGTTTAAATCCCCAGACTTGGATAAACACAGCACAGATGGAGAAAAAGATCATATACCTATTGGTTTCTAGCTCTATTAATTTTATGAAATCTTAAAAATAGTTTCAATGATATTTTGTAAGTTAAGGCATTTTATTTTTTAGTATTTACAATAATAATAAAATAACACACAAACAGAGGTAGTGTAGTGAGTTAAAACAAGATTTTAAAAGTAACGAGTAACCACTGGCAGTTTAGTTTTGGGGCCCATATCCCTAGACATTCAAGAGGCCTGGTTTCTAGAAAGTGCTAGCACTGCAAGTAGTGATTTTTTTCCTTATACTTGAGACTAAAATAATAACATATTAAATTGATCCATAAGAATATTTTCAGGGGGAACCTATACCCAATTTTCAGAAGAGACTCAGACAAAGGAGTCAAAGTCCTATGCTTAAGCCCTTTTGAAAACGTTACACCCAAATCTTCCTACTTGTCCCTCAGTCATGAAGATCACAGTCATCAGATTTGCCTGGGACTTTAAAAATTATATTGCAGATGACACATAACAGACACCAGGGGTGTCTGCTAGCTTGAATGTAGATTACTCAAATAGAGTGATGGAGGAAACAAGTTAATAAGTGAGTCTTGCTTTTACAACTAAGTCTCCTTCACTCCCAGTTCAGTGGTTTTCAAGATTTTTTTTAGACTCGACACCCTTCCAAAACTTTTCAAAATTCAGTGGCACCCCATTTTAACCCCTCTCTCCCCCTCCCAAATATCAATATTTGGATGTAAACATGATCTCACCCTATTACTAATTAACATGGTATTAACTGATGACAGTTATTTTTATTCACCCCACTACCACCACTACTGTGGCCCAGTGGAACTGTGCCACGTACCTCCTGCAGAGTAAGACTGGGAAGTGACTGTGGCAGCAGCACATGTTGCCGCAGCCCTTCCTGGTCCAACCCAACATAGGGTCTCTCAGAAAGAGGCACACGGGGAAGGTGGAACTCTCTCACATATCTCTGTTGTCAGGAGGCAAGCTGGAAGCAAAGAGCTACAGCAGAAGCAGTATGCCTGCTTGCTTACAATGCAGGCAAGTGCAGCTTTCTTCTGCAGCCACTTTTCAGTTTGCTTTTGAAATGTCTCATGAAAACAGAGGCATGCGGGACAGTTTCACCCTGAACAGTGGTGGTGCCAACACTGTGGTGCTAACAATGTGGCAACCATGGCAGATTCTTGCAACACCTCAGTTGAGAAGCACCACTCTAGTCCTGCATACATCCATAGGTAGTGAGCACATCTTCATGACGGAGAACCCACTTTCAGAAATGTACTTAAAAACGAACACCACCATGCTGGAAAGATGCCAATAATGACTCACTTAAGCTTTATTTTTAAAATTTAAAGAAAATCCCAATGAGACTGCATGACCACAGACTCTCCTTGTTTACATTTTAATACACTATATTAAAAGCAAAAAAGTATAAAAAACAAAACAGGTCAATACAGGCCACATTCTAGCCAACCATCTGTACCAGTAATTAAGGAACACACTTACCGCAAAGACCCCTCGCACAACCCAGCCATGGTGCTGCCGTAATGTCCTTCCATATGCATTGTCTTAAAAGAAATAAAAATAAAGAGTTTCTTACAATAGCTTTTAATGTTGTTTCACCTTTGCATGATAGCAGGGGATTAAGAATGTTTAAAGGCTAATTCATTCCAATTAGGCACAAAACATGGCTCTTTTTGCATTTCAATAGTATTTAATGGACAGCAAGATAGAGGAAGTAACACAATCATGACTTTTGGTTTATATTTTCAGCTCTGCTGCTGACATCTGTTTTTCTGGATACTGCATGTCCTCTGCAGCACAGAAGAAGCATGTTCCTTTCATCTACTTTACAGCAACCTGGGACTAGAAGAAGGGCAAATTGAGGTACTATGGGTCAGATTACAGGGGGGTCAGAGAGAAAGGGACTTAGTAGTGGGGGTCTATTAGAGACCCCCACACCAGGGGGACGAGTTAGACCTAAAATTCTCAAGACCGCTCTCAGAGGCAGTGCGCTCAAAGGACCTGGTCGTCATGGGTGACTTAAACTTCCCAGACATCTGCTGGGAGGAACAGGCAGCCAGGTCTGCCCATTCACCTAAGTTTCTAACCTCCTTACAGGACCTTCACCTATCGCAGGAAGTACGCATTCCCACTAGGGGAAATGCCTTACTAGAATTGGTGCTGGCCACAGAGGACGACTTGGTGGGGGATTTGCAGGTGCAAGGTAACCTAGGGGATAGTGACCACCTATTGATAGAGTTCACTATCTGGAGAAAGGTGGGAAAGGCAACTAGAAGGGCAGAAGTGCTACACTTCAGGAAGGCCAACTTCAACAACCTTAGGAGATTAGTTAGGGAGGGACTGACTGGTAAAAGCCTCAGAGAGATGGGAGTCCAGGAAGGGTGGGCATTAGTCTCAAGGGACTAATCCTGCAGGCACAGAAAAGGACCATCCCAATACACATAAAGGGGACAAAAAAGCAAAGAAACCCTCTTGGTTGAGCAGGGAAATCCAGGAGAGCCTGGAGGGGAAAAAAGAGGCCTAAAGGCTGTGCAAGTAGGGGGCAGCCACCAAAGAGGAGTATACCTGCTTGGCTCGAGCTTGAAATAGTGAGAGCCAAAGCAGAAATGGAGATTAGGCTGACAGCAAAAGTTAAGGATAACAAAAAGTCATTCTTTAAGTACATAGGAAGCAAAAAGAAAATGCAGGGTAGCTCAGGGTCCCTTCAGGATGAACTAGGGCAACTGGTAACATATAGGATGGCCAAAGTGGAGCTCCTAAATGATTTCTTTGTATCTGTGTTCCTGGACACAAATACAAATATGCATCCCATTTGGATTTTAGGTAAGCCCAGGATAGTTACCAAGCCACCAACTGTTAGTGCTGACCTAGTAAAGGGGCACCTGGAGGGGTTGAATGTATTTAAGTCAACAGGCCCTGATGATCTTCATCCTAGGGCAGGGGTGGGCAAAATATGGCCCGCAAGGCCACTCTATCTAGCCCATGGGGCCCCTAAAAAATTGAGAAAATTAATATTTCTCTGTCTTTGGTTTCTGTCAAAAAGGACAGAAACCAGGGGCAGTAGGACCCAGGGGAATCCTGGGCAGGCTCCCGCAACAGCAGGGCCTTCCCAGACCAGCCCCCCCCAGCCAAAAGCCCCAGCAGGGGCTGCTGGCCTGGGAACACGTGGCTGCCCAGCGCAGGAAGTTCAGATAAGGGAGGGGGTGAAGGGGGAAGGGAAGGGCAGGGAAGGAGCGCGGGGAAAAGCAGCCCCTCCCCTGCCCCATGGCGGTGCTCTCTGCTGCAGCCACTCAGCCCACAGGGCTGTCTTGAGCAGGCACAGGCAGCCTCAGGCGGGCTGTGAATGGCTGCAGCGCAGGGCACCGGGCATGGGATGGGCGAGGGGCTGCTTTCCCCCGCTGCACTCAGCACCAGCTTGTAACCCGCCCCCGCTGCAGCCTGGGCCCTGTGCTGGCTGCAGGCCCCCTGCCAGGGCCCCATTACGGCAGCAGCAAATGCAGCCCCCACCCTTGCTGCCCTGGGCAGTGTTTGCTGCTGCTGCCTGCCCAGAGCTTGCGCTAACCTGGTTTCATTTTACAATCAGGTCACAGAATGCTTGGAAGAAGGAATAGAGGGAGATGTTATTTACTTAGATTTTAAATAGGCCTTTGACACAGTGTCGCACCCAATTCTTATAAATAAACTAAACAGTTGCAATGTAAATTATTACACAGTCTGGTGGGTAGAAAATTGGCTTATGGGACGCACCCAGAGAGGGGTGGTAGATGGGTCAGTTTCTACCTGGAGAAATGTGGGCAGTGGAGTCCCCCAAGCCTCTACCATTCAATATTTTCATTAGTGACTTGGACGAGGAAGTATAAAGCACCCTATCCAAGTTTGCTGATGACACCAATGGCTGCAGCGCAGGGCACCGGGCATGGGATGGGCGAGGGGCTGCTTTCCCCCGCTGCACTCAGCACCAGCTTGTAACCCGCCCCCGCTGCAGCCTGGGCCCTGTGCTGGCTGGCGGGCCCCC